CCTTAGTAACACAGTACTGACTGAGAATAATTACATAACCAATTTCAGAGTGCAGCAGCCATCAGCTTGAATTAGTAAGATAAAAGCTGGCTGTTGACAAAGATGATAGAGCAGGTAGCTGTGACAAGGGGTTACTACCTTGCCTCTTGAAACATACTGAATTGGTCAATACAAGCAAGCATGCAACTAGCTTGGCTGTATTTCAGCTTTGTGATGAAGGGAAAGGAATACATTTCATTTTTGGCAAAACACCTTTTAGAAAGCCCAAAACTCCTCCTGCCAAAAAAGTGATTAAGATCACTTATCTTGAAGAGTTCCTCTCAACTCCAAATTCTGAAAACCACAGTTTCCTCAGAAGTGTTTTTAGACACAATTCAAAGCTTAGGACACTCTCTCCCCCCCTAACATATGCTGCTGTGCTTGTATCAAACACAAACTTGCCAAGAGAGGGAACTGATTAAATTACAGCCAATATGACAGATTAACATATGCCATGGCATGCACAAGCTTCACTGCTTCTGGGATTTCTGTTTTATTTGTAAAACTGCATTATCTATCTAATGTTCTGTAATCTTCATATTGAAGAGACATTTGCAGAAGTTTAACAGAGGGAACTTAGTCAGAGAGATCCATCAGACAAGACCACTCCCAATGATTTTCATTTCAAACAAAGGCCATTAGGATAATGTGCTGGTTCAGACTTAGGGACCTAGAGCCTGCAGAGAGCCACCACATCCCTTATGCAGTGATATGCTCTCCTGTTAAATCAGTGCTGACAGTTCTTGGACAGAAGAACTGCATTTCTTAAAAGGAGAAGTATTGTTATTGGACAGAGACACATGCTGAGAAGGGACAGTAAGACAATGTGAGACAAGAAGGCTCTCAAACCACAGAAGTGTGACAGACAAAGCCAGAGGAACTCTAAGACCAGTGAAGAGGCAGATACAGTTCTGCTCATATTTTTTTCAACTTTTTTTCTGGAAACTGATTAAAAAATACCTCACATCTTCCAGAGGAGTACCAGATGGATAATCTGTATTCCAAATGTATGCCCAGAGCCCATATTTTGGGATATCTTTAACTTGTAAGCCAAGAGCACATGAGACTCACCAGGTGAACAACAGTACAGCAGTGCACCAAGAACCTACAAGGTTTTCAAGTCTCTCTTGATTCCTCTTGACCCAGAAGGCAGGAACCCTTTGTTACCATTACTCATGTGTAATCTTTGGAAGTCTAAACCAAAATCTAGCAGACAGGCATGACCAGACTTCAGCGTGGACCAGATTTCAGCACAACTCAAGCAATCAAATTATGTCCTAAGTATCAGTGTTTTCTGCAGGGAGAAGGCTCTTCAAGATTGTGAATGCAGTTTGACAAAAGGAAGAAAACTTAAGACAAAAAAAAGCTTTATAAAGCAAGCTATTAGACAATGTTTTCTATAGTATCTGATTTCGTAGCATTTCATGAATGCCAGGATACAAAAAGAAGAAAGAGAAGGAACACAAAGTCCCACAGTGGGCACGTGACTGAGTTTCATATTACAATGCTAATAATAGAAATTAGAGGTACTCAGTGAGGTTCAGTGCATGCTGATTGAAGGCAATGGTATCGTAGGGTACAGGGAGATTAGATCAATTATCTCAAGGTATGTCAGGATGAAACTTGCAGCACATCTGTTACTCCACTCCAACCACTTGTGTGCCTGCTCTTTCTCCTTAGTAGACACCTCGACAGAAGAATAATTTACCTCCCATAAATTCCTATTTGTCGTGAGGAAAGCCCACATACACCTTCTGACTTCTAGGCTTCAAGAACAGGAAAACACTACAGATCATGAAAAGCATCCAACTCCAAGACAAAACTGCAGGCAGAGCATTTCTTTTTGATACTGATGCTTCCCTTGCGTGGATTAAGTTGCCTAAAATCTGTCTCTCTCTTAAGAGACAACCCCAGTTCAGAGTTACTTGATTGATTCCTATTCAAGTGAACCATCCCATGCTCCATCCCAAGGTATGGGATGCTTCCATCAGGGGCTAAAATGCCAGAGCTATGGCTTCTCATCAGTGTTGTGCCAAATCTCCCTTGCTGACTAACATCATGCACTCAACACCATGGAACAAAATGTACACTGCACTGCTACACATAGGTAGCCAGAAGAGAAACCAATGCTACAAAAAAGGAGGAAGCAAAATAAATATTTTTTGCTTAATATACTCAAAGCTGTAGTTTTGGGAAAATAACTGAAAAATGTTGCACTCTCATTTTCCTGTGTGAACTTTCCAGCAGATGAGCACACAGGGCTGCCTCTGACAGAAATCAGTTCTCAAGTTCGCAGTTATGAAGCTCAGGGAATGTGTTTCTCAGTCAAAAAACAAACAAACAAACAAACAAAAAAAAAAAAACAAACCAAACAACTCTGACCAAACCCACACCACAAGGGTTCTATAAAAAGTGCAATTAACATTTACCACATTTAAAACAATGAGACTGATAACTGTGGTAAACATCACCACTAAACTACATTTTACTTTTAACTGGTAGAGTTTTAATGAACAAATACCCCTATGCATAGATGCCAACATGGCAAATATTATTTGTGAATGAAGTGACAAAACAGAAGAACTGCTCACTGCACTGGTATTTAGTTCACCTAGTTAGTTCACCTAGTTAGTTTAGTTGGAGAATCTAACATCAATGGCTTCTGTGCACAAGACTTTTGGTGCTGTACCTATGTAAGGTTACTCCTCTGGTGTCTATGTAAAGCTATCATATACCCATCAGTGTAAAAGTAGGTCACAGCTTAGAAAACTCTGCACAACTGTCTCTGCTAGAACACTGACTACTGGAAAAACAGTCCACCCAAGATCTTTAGAAATCAGCTGATATTTTAGACTCCTGGATTGGATGAAAACATTATTTATCACGTGGTAAGTCATGAACATATTCAAGAAGATGATGATACTACCACTAGCTTTTTTGTTACTACTTTTTTGTTGCTTCTGTGTAGTGCTTTAAGCACATTACACCAATAATAAAAAATTATGAACTGAGAAGCAGTCATGGAGCTTTGCAATTTAATAGCACATCACTTAGCTACAGCTTTATCAACATCTTATTTTCCACTAAAAGTATTTTGGAAGCATGAAGGTAAAGAGCTAAGTATTGTTAAGTACAACATGTCACTGTGATATTACCCAAATTTATGTCCTAAAATAATGAACTGTCCCAGTCTTAGAATATGCAAAAAGTTGACATGGGAACATTAGGAATGCTTATTAAGTCAGAGAGATGACATGTGTTAAGAGTTCTTCCAGGAATCCACTGCCAGCAATATTAGAGTGTTTAATGAAACAAAATTAATCTTATCATCACAAGTTGGTCCTTCAAATGAGCTGTTCTGATAAGTGTACTTAGAACTATGTGGAGTATTACATTTTTTCTTATGAACTAGAAAACAAAAATGTATTTAGGTATTTGTCACCAACTTATCAAGATATTTTTGCCACAGGACAATGCCAGAGAGCGTCACCATCATAAAAATTTAGCATTTGTATTGCATTGGTGAGCAAGCCTTTCTAGATATGGTAACTGAGGAGACTCTTCTTCCCCACAGTTCTGTTTGCTGGCTGTTTCCCTTGTAATCAAACCCACTCAGGTAATAGGGACAAACGTGCTTCTTGCACAACTAGTTTCAGTAAAAATTCGTTTAAGAAAAAGTGAAAAAGTAAAGTGCTAAGTGAGCATTCTACACATCTACATTCACTTTTTATAAATAATCTTTCAACACAATGCTGTGCAAAATTAATACTTCAGTAATAGAGGTATTTCTACTATAAAGACTGTTTGTGATTAACAGACTGGCAGTACCAATATTTAACAGCATTAAAGAACTAACTTGTTCTGCTTTCTGTTACATAGATATTAGAGCAGTAGCAATTTGTGACAGGCTGAAGAGCGCCACAAGGGAAGCAACCATCATAGCACGGAAGCCAAAAACATCCCAACTGTATCTATGAAAGAGAGGAAAGCAAGGAGTAACAGAAGGAGAGACTGACTAATTACTTCAGATAAGTTCATTCAAGAGAGGAAACAAGAAGTGCTGCAAGATGAATGAGAATTTTATATTACAAGAAGCATCCCATTTTACTGCTGTTGCATCTGTTCCATAACACCAGTGAGGCAAACAGTTGTCACACTTGACATATATGGATATATTTTATATATATCTTGGATGTATTACAGATATACTGGATTTTTTTTTTTATCTCCACAGGGCAAGTCAGCACCCAAAACGCTGAAAAGTTACCACTGTGGAGCCCCGGCAGCCTTTGTGGCGGGGCAGTACCTGTGGTACTGCAGCTCCGGGCTCTGGGCTCCGATCCCTCGGCAGAGCCATCGGGCCGGGGCACGGGCAGGGCCGCTCTGCGCCCGCAGCGCTCCTCTGGCTCCTCAACACGCCCCAGGCACCCGGGGATCGACGGGACTCTCAAGTCGGGTGCTCTGCCAACGATTTGGGGGGAACACAGAAGAAGCCAAACTCGCCCTATATTAACCGGCAGCAAAGGCGAGAGCAGGGGAGCCCGCGGACGGGACGGGACCTTCCCCGTGCCCTCCCCCGCGCAAACACACAAGGCGCGGAGCGGAACAGAAGACGGAGGGACAGCGCGGAGCGGAGCAGGGCCGCCCCCCGAGGGCACGGCACGGCTCGGCGGGCGACGGGCTGACACCCAGCCCGGCACGGCCGCGCACCTTCCCGCTCGCTTTCCCCCGCGCCAGCCGCCGGGAGCAGCGCTCGCCCCCGCGCTCCCGGCGGACGGCCAAGCACCGGCGCGGGGCCAGCCGCCCGCCCGGGCACTCCGCCGCCCCGCCGAGGTGCAGGAGGAGGAGGAGGGAGGCACGGAGGCGGCCTCGGCGGCACCGCCGCCCCCGCCTCCCGAAGGCGCCCCGGCGGCGCCAACTTTCCCCGCGCCCCGCGCCGCTCCCGCCGCCTCGCCCGGTACCTGCCGCGCCGCCGCCGCCGCCCCGCTGCCCCAGGGGGCGCAGAAGGCCGCCGCGGCCGCCGCCACCGTGCGGACCGAGGAGAGCAGGTGCGGAGCGCGGGACCGCGGAGCCGATCCCAACCCCGCTCCCGCCGCCGGCTCCGGCTCGCCCGTCCCGGGCCCCCGCCCGTCCCGGCGCTGCTCTCCGCCTCGGCTCCGCTCGGAGCCCTTCGGCGCTTTCCGCGTTTCCACAGGGGAACCGGAGCGGGGTCACCGCGGATGGCGGGGCTGGAGCTGTTCCCTCGCCTCCCTTCCCGCTCCGCAGCAGCCCTGGCGGGGACTGCCCCGCCGCCACCTGTTCCCGCACGGCCGCGGTGGCCGCCGTCCCGCCCGGGTCCCTCCCTGGCCACAGCTCCTCCCGGGCCGGCTCCAGAGGCTGACACGAGCTTGGCACACCGCCGGCTGCGGACCCTGCCGGGGGACGAGGAACCGGGCGTGCCTCGTGCCATCGCCAGAGGAAGAACGGGACCGACACAGGAGGTGCGAAGTGTCACCACGGCCCGCAGTTGGTGGCACAGCCCGCCCCGTGGCCTCCCATGGCGGGAGGAGGAGGCAGGCACGGCCGCCGGCGAGGCACGGCCAGCTGGGCAAGGCGTGGGGATGCCTGTGGTGCCTCCTGCTTCCCTCGCGTCCCTGCTGCAGCGCCGTGCCGAGGGATCAGCTCCGCTCCTGCCGCAGGAGTAACTGTGTCAGGGCAGCTCTACACCCGTGCTAATTAGCTGAGCCTTTCTGCAGCGCTAATTAACTGAAGCAGAGTACCTCAATGGCCGAGCAATCCCGTGGCATGTTTTCTCCAGTTGTAAAGAAATTTCCAGGTGCTTGGTCCTTGTGCCCTTGTGCTAATGCGACTGTACATGAGACCAATGAAACAGTCTGGGTTAAAATATTCAGAAACCCTCCAAAACGGTGTGAAACTTGGATGGTGCTCTCCTGATCTGTTTTGGCCCCTGTCTTCAGCCATCTCTGTTAACTCGAATGCAGGGGTGGGAGCACGGACAGAGTGAACTGATGCACCAGAAGCTCCCTGCAAGAGACCCAGATCCAGAAAAAAAACCCCAGAGACAAACCCGAGAAAAGCTTATCAGACAATTCCTTGACATAGCTGTATTGTTTCAAATTCCAAATTGCCTTTCCAAGCTTAGTTCAGGGACCTCTATGCTGCAGTGCACAGTATAAATATATCTGCTGTGGAGATGGCACATTCCAAAATGCAACTTAGCTCTTGCCATCTGCTGATCTGTACTGCCCTTCTAGTGAGCTGTTTCTTGGGATGCCACATTCTTGGCTAGTTTGGGGAAAGTAACATGAAGGCAGCATCTCTGGTGAAGGCAGAATGGGAGCTGGTGTGAGCACGTCTACACAGCACTGCCTTGTCTGAATTTGAGTACTGCGAGGAGCGTAGCTATGTCACAGGTTTTCCCACCAGGTACAATGCTGCTGCTCAGCACAGCTGATTCATAGGATTTTGCAGATTTCCTACAGCCTTCTCTGAATGGTTCTGTCTTACACTCGTGTTCACTAATATCTACACTGAAAAATGATCTTTCCCAAATGATTGAGGAAACAATCTAATAATCTAATCTCCCATAATTTATTAAAGGTACATAAACTTAATTTTCCATGCATTTAAATCTTAATGGAATATTGACAGGCTTCATTCTATTTGACTGTTTCTGAGATTCAGAGTGAGAATTAGTTGACTTGTTAATTCTATAACATTACTCCAGAATGTGAGCTTATTTAGCTCTGCAGCAATAAGAGTGTTAAAAAGCATTGGCATTGCCATCCCAAATCAACCCGTTAGGTCACTGTGTTTCCATCAGAACTTCTCCTACTCAATAAGTGAGGATTAGCCCCATCTAACACTTTGTGTCCCATGGAAGGAAGTTAAATTTTCTTTGAACTGATACTTGGCATTTTCCAAAGTACTTTGCAAGCAATAATCATCTTTTCCTTTAGAGAGAGTGCAGGAAAACAGTGCTACCTAACAAGTACACAAGTGAACACACCACCAAGGGCCAAGCTGCTGCTCCCCACATGGAAGGTTACTGCATCTTGCCCTTCACATAGTCCCATGTAGTTCTCTAGGAGCATTAATTCAGAGGCATGAGAGCCTATCCATTCCAATTAATCACAGTCAGGGCCTGATGACTTTAGAGATGAAATATGAGTGCATTGGGCTTTTGATTTAGTGGTACAGTTCCTGGACTCAGGTCCAAATCTGTGCAGCAGAAAACTCTTTCATTACAAACATCAGAAATTCTACTGCTGGGCCTTGGAGGAAATATGTAATCCCTGTCTTCCCCTGGGTAAAAACTATTACGTATTTCACCGGGTGAAATTATTAGTCATGCCAGTGAAGAAGAGTAACTCCACTTCTGATTTAGAGTAGCAGATATAATAAGAACAGACTACAGCTTTCTATTGCACACAATTACTTTCAGCTCCAAAATCCTGTACTTGGAAAGCACTTTCCCAAATTCCTTGACTTTATAGAAAGGCGGAGGATCCTATAGTGATTAAGACCATGGAAGAGAAAAAATAATTTAATACCTAGGATTGCCAAACACAGGACACCATAGAAGCATTGTCTCTCACCAAGAGATGATTTGTCCCTCCAAATGTGGTATCAGCTTATAGCAAACACTTCTGAATCTTCTACTCATCACCTACTTGTTAAAGTTGTGCTAAATTAGATAAATATCAATTAATTTAGTGTAATTTGTTTTCCTATCACACAATGGAAAATGTGGACAGGATACTAATTCCTTGAGAATAACAACCTCAAGCCAAAAAGAAAAACCACTACTCCTCTCAGAAAAAAAAAAAAAAAAAAATCAAACAAACAAACTCTATAAAAACAACAGGATAAAAGCTGTGTCTGTTATTTTCACCTTTTGTGGCTAAGGCATTATTATTTTCTGTAATTACACAAACAAACTCTCTTTTTGCAGGATCATCTCCCATTCACTGCATGTTTCAACAGCTGCTTCACCCTTCACTGGACATGTTAATCTCTACAGACTGGATGGCTGTTCTCATACTCTTGAGTATCCAGCTGAAGACATCTAGGACACAGTTTTTCAACTAAATTTCTGAGTGTGTTTTTTCACATCTCTGAGTACTTCTTTAAATAAAAATAAATCACAACCTGAACCTCTGGTCTGTTTACTCAAAAAAAACAAACAAAAAAAAAAAAAAAAAAAAAAAAAAAAAAAAAAAAAAAAAAAACAAAAAACTCAGTTACTGATAGGAGGAAAGATGGAAAGATGTCCAGCTGGAGTAACTTTGTCAGCATCACCCAGAAGTGCTGTCACAGTAACAAACATCTCTGACATCTCTGAGGGCAGTTTGAGCAGCTGCCTAGACAGAGATCATCAGGTACTGATTAAAACCAGATGAGGAAAAAACCTGTGTTACTTTTAACATAGATAAATTCTGCAGTTAGATTAGCCAGTAGTGATTTGAGGAAAAGTGTACAACTGCTGTACAAGTGTACAACTTTTCCTTTTGAGGAAAAGTGTACAACAAAAAGCTGTTAATTTTCTATCCCAAGAAGTGTTAAAGGGCAGTGTGGATGGATCTCTGAGCCACCTGGTCTAGTGGAAGGTATCCCTGCCAATGGCAGGGTGGTTGGAACCAGATCTTTAAGGTCCTTTCCAACACAGACCCTTGTATGATTCCATAAAATATGTGTGCACATAGTGATTTTCAGGACTTAATCAGCCAAATTTATGAGAAATTTCTTCTTGTCAACAAAGGACTCCTTGCTGTCAGAATCATGGACATGCTAAAGGTACTCAAAAGATGGTTACAAATAGGGAGTTTGTGTGATTGTTTTTAATTAGCAATTCCTTATTGTAATTCTTCTTGAAAAGGCAAAATTATGATCAGTTCAGCCAGAGGCAGAAACTCATGATGTGAAACTTCATCCCAAATAATTACATTCTGGCACAGTTGTAACAAAAGCAGGATCTCTATAAGAAAAATATTTGGCAATCTGAGCTGTGGTCGCTCTGCCTTATAGATAGATCTGCCTATGCAAGCACAGAATAAACTTCTCTCCACTTCAAGAGACACTAAAGTTCTAACCACTGTCCCTTTCTCAAGCTCATTTAAAAGCATAAACCAATTGTGAACTTTCAAAAAACAAAAAAAAATCCTAAGTGGCTTAAAGTATGTTCTCACTATCACAAAACACCAGTTTAAATGAATACAGACTGGGAGAGTGAATACACACAGCCAGTGAATGTTCCCAGCAGTTAGACAGTAAATTGTCTGGCCAAAGTAATTTATGTGCTTGCACAGTCTTCATGGATATTATCCTCCTCCCACGCTTTGGCTGACATTTTTGAAAGTGCTTGCATTTACTTACAAGCATGTATAAAACAAGTCATGTGCTGATTCATGAAATGTGTATCGTGAAATATTGGTTAAACAGAGTGGAAGGGTGCCGGAAAAAATTGAAGCTGGGGATATGCCTACAATGTTCCACTTAGACCTAAACAGTGAAAGTTGTACCAGGCTGCAAAAAAGTATTTCTAAGGGAAACAATGAAAGTGCAATCAACTCAGCCATTTAAACTTGGATACATTAAAACACATAGCTGGGAAATTACTTTGCATGTAGGTGCATAAAAAAATTGAGTAATCATTTTTATATATACTTTGGTTATCTGATCAGTAGTATACCGAATATGTATTTGCATGAATATTGGCCTTTCTGTTACTGACAAGTGTTTGTCTCAAATTATCATTTTGGCATAGTCTTCCTTTACTGCTCCTTATGGCCACTCAAAAGTTTCCTCTTATTAGTAATATAAAACAAATATAAAATATGAAAGAAGGTGACACACTGATGGAACTCCTATAATTTTTTTTTCATTAAACTATAACAGTATTTACTCCAGGACATATCTTTTTTTAATCAGAAAGTTTAATTCATAGGAAAGAAGTGTCAAATAATTTTTGTTTTGTCTAAAATTTGCAAATATTTTACATTTAGCAATTAACCATGAAAAGCATATTTAAATGAATCTTATTTAAATGAACCCAGCATATATATTTAATATAGCTTCACAAGAGAAGCAACATGGTACTATG